ACCCCCGCTTATCCGGGGTCGGACCGCAGGGGCAGCAGCTTAAGAAGGGAGGCCCGGACTTCCCTCTCCCCAGCCACTTCTTCTAGCCCCTCAGGAGGAACCCCAAGGCCAGCTGAGAAACATAGTCTCTCCAGCGTGTCCTCGGTCTTCCCCAGGGCCTCCCCCCAGTGGGACGTGGCCGGAACTCCTCACCAGGGAGACGCCCAGGAGGCATCCTACCCAGATGCTCGAGCCACCTCAACTGGCTCCTCTCGATGTGGAGGAGCAGCGGCTCTACTCCGAGTCGCTCCCGGATGACCGAGCTTCTCACCCTATCTCTAAGGGAGAGCCCAGCCACCCTACTCGCTTGTATCCGTGATCTCGTTCTTTCGGTCATGACCCAGAGTTCATGACCATAGATGAGGGTAGGAACGTAGATCAACCGGTAAATCGAGAGCTTCGCTTTTTGACTCAGCTCTCTCTTCACCACGACGGACTGGTAGAGCACTTTAAAACCATGGCAAGTTTTAATATGTTTTTAAGTGAGAAAGTCCACCCTAAAATATTATATGTGCAGTTAATTCATCAAGATTATGACCCTGCCTTAAAATATTATTTCGCTTTCGGAGCTTATCAGACCTAAGAATCTAAGCTTTCCAATGATGTCTTACTTGTCTATACTGGTAAAAAGTTTACTGGTGGAATTGTATGCTTACTCCACTTAACATCCACCGGGCCGCTGGCGAACTGGTGGATGATAAGATGTCTCTAATTGCTAGATGTCTCTAAATGTTATCAGTTGGTGATTAACCAATAAAAAACTTAAATGTCTTTTCTTTTCAGAAGTGTCATGGAGATTTACAAAGAATATAACTCGACCTTACCTGAGAATCTCCAGCTTACAGAGTGGGTTCTCCTTTCCAGCCAACAACAGCTCCAGTCCTGAATCCTGTAGGATATTTTTGCTCAGGTCCAAATCCTTCAAACCACAAGAATCTGAGATGAGTAGATCACCAAGAGCTTCACAGCATCTCTCAGTCAGATTACATTCACTCAGCCTGGGGGAAGTAAGAAGATGAGCTCCGTCATTACCTATACAGAATTGTTTACTGTTATTAATGCACCACTAATCAATATTGTGGTGTATGACTCAGAATGACATAACAATTTGCAATGGCAGAGGGGTGTAAAGGCAATGCTAATACAAAAATTCACAGAAAATACAAAAAGACTAAATGAGACTATCAAGCAAAAACCATGCATAGTAAAAATACAGGAAAGTAGAATGGCTACATTAGCAGAAAATAGAAAAGCAAGATACAAATGTTATGCAAAAACACTAAGTATGCTAATATACCAAACACATGTAAAACCTGCAAATTAGCAAAGCAATGCTCCTGACCACTAGTGAGGGATGATCACCAATTCATGTCATGATCTTAGGACTGATGATTGGCTTGATTACTCATTTCATTCAGCTGCCTAGCTCAGTCAACTTTTCTCATTAGTGCCCATCTGTTCTACCTGCTCCAGCTTCTATTAAACCTGTTTCCTCCAGTTATCAGTGCCAGATTATTCGAGCCCCTGGTGAGTCTTCTATCGAATCTTAATGTGTTTTGATTTCCTGATCCTGCCCCATTCTCCATCTGGTCCTCTGTCTGTTCCCGTTCTGATCTGTTTGCCTGACCTGTCTTCGAACTGATTCCTGACACTGCCCTGGATTTCCCTTTGGTACCTCTTCGGATCTCTGATCTTCTGGCCAGGACCCCGGAGCACCTCCTTGACACTGACTTTGGCTTTGCTCTCTCGATTATCCTGCCCTCCTTCGCCTGCTCGGATCTCATCTCCTGCCTGTTCTCTGTACTCCAGGGACATCATCTGGGACTCTCTGGGAAGCGTCCGCCGCTTCTTCCCAGCAGCCGACCGGCTAGAACTAACCTTGTTCTCTAGGCATGGACTGAACCTTAAGACCAGGTTAGTGACTTAAACATTCATAATCATCTTTTGCCAGATTGATGTGGTCACTAATCTGTGTTCTCTTTCTGCAGAGGTTCCTGCCTTAAATGCTCTCGCTGTTCACTGCAGATCCGTTACTTTAAAAAAACACTTTTTTGAAATATCAAACTGTCTGTCTGCTTTGAAAATGGACATCATATGAAACCAGATCATAGACGTTATGTAAAATTACTGTCTAGAAACCACATCCATTCAAGAAACATACAGACAGGCTCATCATTTCCCACTTCAACAGGACCTGGTCATAGGGCAGTTGTCTGAGCCCCCTCTGAGACTCCCAGACTTCTCTCTCCACAGTCACCTCCTTCAGCTCTGTTAGGGTAATCTCGAGGTGCTCTTAGGCTAGTATAGAGACATAGTCCCTCCAGCGTGTCCTGGGTCTTCCCTGGGCCTCCTCACATTGAGATGTACCTTGAACACCTCCCGAGGCAGGCGTCCAGGGAACATCCAAAAAAGTTGTCACCTCAATGGACTCCTATCGATCTGGAGGAGATGTAGCTCTACTCTGAGGCTCTAAGGGAAAGCCCAGCCACCTTGAAGAGAAATCTCATTTCAGCTGCATGTATCCGGGATCTCCTTCTTTCAGTCATGCTCCAGATTTTATGACTATAGGTCGGTAGGAACATACACCGAGCTTTGCCTTCACCACAGCAGACCGATGCAGTGTCCGCATTTAGACAGCAGCTCCACCCATCCATCTATATATCTAGAGCTCCGTTTTCCCCTCAATAATGAACAGTACCCTAAAATAATTGAACTGCTCCAATTGAAGCAAAAGCTCTCCTCCATTCTGAAGGGGACAGGCCTTCTTTTTCCAGTCCAGAACCATGGCCTCGGAATTAGAGGAGCTGATTTTCATTCTGTCCACTTTACACATGGCTACAAACCACTCCAGTGCATTCTGTAGGTCTTGGCAGGAGGGAGTAAGCAGAACCACGGCATATGCAAAAAAAAGTAGGGACAAGATCTGACGGTTCCTGAACAATACGCCCTCCCTCCATGGCTGTGCCTAGAAAAGACCTAGTCCCCTTGGGGATCCAGTTGGTGTCTAAGGGTATGGTCCGACATGAGTTGGTGATCATGTCTTCTTATATTATGTTCACATCACATGCAATTTCAGCTGCAGAAAAGCGTCTGCGGCTTCAAATTGATGCTTCTACAGCTTAAGGTCAGGCACCTCAAGAGCATCTTTGACACTCCTGAAGCGCATCCAGTAAACAGTGACGTGTCCAGATGCATCTGATGCTTGTGCTGCTCCTGTGTTCAATGGCAGAGAGTCATTTAGCTATACTTGCTGTGATGTATGGGTAAAAATAAGTTTTAATATTTTTGAAGAGAGAAAGTCCACCACAAAACATTGTCTGTGCAAGTAGATATTAGCGTTTTTCAGGTATATGGTAGAAACAGCAAGCACCAGAATAATAAAGTTTCAAACTTTTAAGTTAATTCCAGTGTATCCAACTCAGCGACTTTGTTGCTATATTTATTAATTTTTCAGAACCCTCCATCGACTCTTTTACAAAAAAGCGACTAGCTACAAAGCTATCAACTTTTCTGGAATCACTGGCAGCTTTTGGAGACTCTTATGTGAAAGGACGTATCGTTCCTACTCTTGTCCTCCAGCGGCAGGTCAGCATCAGCCGCTGGAGGACAAGAGTAGGAATGATACCCGTCCCCTCCCTCGTCCCAACCCTGTTCTCATCCCGCTTCCGCAGGAGTCCCTCCCAGCGCTGCAGTCAGAGCCACGGCATGTTTACCCTCAGCTTCCAGACTGCAAATGAACTGCGCGCATGCGCCGGGATTGACGGTGCAGGTTGATCACGCTGGAGTCAGCTCCCTCAGTTGCTGAACCTGCCATAGAGAGTCTTGACCAACATGACGAGGACCCCCTCTTTCTGTGAGTAGGCAGGCACAGCCTGCGTGTGTGCATGGAAATCTTATTAGTTAAAAAAATATATTATAATTACCAATATTTGCTCACATTGTCATTGATTCTTTGTAGTATTTTTGTTGTTATATTTAGATTGTTAAAGTGATGTCATGTAAAAAAAAATGTTATGGTTCATAATGTTCATGTTTTACCATGATTTGTAGGCTCCTTAGTTGACCACAAGGGGGGAAAAAATAAAACAAAAAGTTGGAAGAAAAAAATAAATAATTTGTAACTCCGCCATAGTGTCTCTTTATGGTTCATTTTGCCGGTCCCAAGCTCAGGTAAAGGAGGAGGGTTAGTATTTTGATAAAATAAACATTAATAAAAAAAAAATTAATTGAATAAAAAACAAATAAATAAACATTAATGTACAGAAAAAGTAGGTCTATATACTGTGAGTGATTTCACTCACTTTGTCTCTCTCTAACGACATTATTTCTCCCACAGCATCAATAACACGCATCAATCAAATTATTTCAAAAGCATTACCATTAGTATAATAATAAAGAATATACATACAAAATAAAAGATAACTTTTCTTTTTGGGGAGCAGAAAGACAGTTCAGGTTTTGTTCCACCTGTGAACCAAAAGACTTCACATAGGAACGTGAGGCTCTCTCTAAGAGTGAGAGGAAGGTTGTACAGTAGGTGCCACCAGAAGGTACTTTATTTTACTGAGATGTCGGTAATCTAGAGTGGGACCCCCCCCCCAGTTATCCAGGTTGGCACCATAGGATTGGTGTGTATCGGGCAGACTTAAATTACCTGTAGATAATGGGAAAGGTTTTGCAGTTCTATGGTAGTAGAACAAAAGGCAAGGTTCTAGGGAATTGTCAACTGACCAAGGAGAAATTTTTTGATCAAATGCTAACCCAACTTTTTTTAATATTCTTTTTTGTTTCTGCATTTTTTTTAATTTAATTTTATTTATTTTTTATTTTTTCCTACTTGCTTTGATTCTGTTTTATCTTCCTGTATTTTAATCATGTAAAGCACTTTGCATTGTCTTTGTACTGAATTGTGCTATACAAATAAATTTGCCTTGCCTTGCATCACATCGTGTGGCAGATTATGCAAATTAGGCAAGGATGTCATTCAGCGACTTCTAGCGTCTTCTAGCTACTTTCCTTACTGAGGTGCTGCTTCAGCTGCTCAGGTGCTTCAAGATGCGGTGCTCCTGCTGCTCTAGACCTGCAGAAGGACCTTTTGATGTGCCTTGATGCACGTCAGCCATGGACTTTGCATATAAAACAGCTGCTTCTCTTGCTTAAAGCATGTGTGTACATAGCATTAGTGGTCGAGATTGTTTCTATTATGTGGGGCTATTTTGCAGCTTTTGTAACTTGCAGTAGTTTTTGTTTCCTGCATAATTTTAACTACCATGTGTTTTTTTTAATAGCATTATTTATGCATTAGCAGCTGGTTTTGTATTTCTAGTGCGTTAGCTCTTTGCTATTTACTATTTTCTATGATTGCAGCATTCCTCTTTTGTAGCATCTTCTTTGCACACGTTTTGTGTTAGTCACATTTCTGTGTTTGCAGTATTCTTTGTGTTTGCTACAGATTTATTATTTGGAATGCGTTTTCATTTCTCAGTCACTGTCATGTGTGTTAGAAGATTTACTTTTATGTCTCAAAAGATGCAGTTGTCTGTGCACTTACAGAGCTTTGCAGGAAGATTTAACCACTGGCAGGAGCCTCAGAAGAGCCTCCTCTGAAGCAGAGTATTTCTTTAGGTCGAACACATCCAGATCTTTGGTCGAAAGCAAGATAAAGAGCAGAGCTGACCACTGAGCTGGGGACAGTTTGTCTGTAGAGAGCCTTCCTGATCTCAGGTAAAGCTGTATCTCCTCTACCAGAGAGTGGTCGTTCAGTTCATTCAGGCAGTGAAACAGATTAATGCGTTTCTCTACAGACAGATCCTCCCCAATCTTCTTCTTGATGTACTGAACAGTTTTCTCATTGGTCATTAAACTACTGTTTGCTTTTTCCAACAAGTCCTTTAGCTTATCTTGGTTTCTGGGCAGGGAAAGACCGAGAAAAAAGCGAAGGAAAAGATCCAAGTGTCCATTTGGGGACCGCAGTGCTTTGTCAATGTGAATCCTGTCAATCTTTGTTGAAGATGGGTTGTTGAAAAAAACCTGAAGATTTTTCATTGATGGTTTTGTGAAAAACAAGTGTTTGCTGCTGTTACTAAGACACATCCTCACATAGACAGCAGCTAAGAACTCCTGAACGCTCAGATGAACAAAGCTAAAAATCTTTTCCTTTCTTTTCCTGCCAAGCTGTTCTTTGAAAATCTCTGTGAAAACTCCTGAGATCACTGAGGCTTCTTTCAAATCAACGCTGGTCTCAATGAGATCCTTCTCGTAGAAGATCAGGTTGCCCTTCTCCAGCTGCTGATAAGCAAGCTTTGCTAAGGATTTGATGAACTGAATAGACATCTCAGAGCCATATTTTTCTTTAGTGTGATCCATCTGAAACACCAGGAACTCTGTATACATCTCAGTCAGGCTCTTGGGGAGATCTCCAGTGCCTCTGGTTTTTATCATATCCTCCAGAACGGTAGCTGTGATCCAGCAGAAGACTGGAATGTGGCACATGATGTGGAGACTTTGTGATCCCTTGATGTGGGAAATGATCTTGTTGGCCCGCTTTTCATCTCTGAACCTTTTCCTAAAGTATGTCTCTTTTTGAAGGTCAGTGAACCCTCTGACTTCATTCACGCTGCTAACAAACTGCCTGGGAATCTGACTGGCTGCTGCTGGTCTCGAAGTTATCCAGATTCGAGCAGAGCGAAGAAGTTTCCCATTGATGAGTTTCCTCAAAAGAACATCTGGTGTGGTGGTATTTGTAACATCGTTAGATCGAACATCTTCAATGTGAAGATCCAAATGAAGTCGGCTCTCATCCAGTCCATCAAACACAAACAGTAGTTTAAATCTACTTTTGTCATAGTTGCTGTTTCCAGAAGACTGCAGCGTTTTAAAGATGTAATTTAGAGCCTCCTCTTTGATATCTACAGTTTCTGGGATACATTCATGGATGAGCTGCGCTAAACTGAATTTTTCTGCTCTTAGTGGATTTAGCTGACGGAAGGTGAAGGGGAAAATAAGATCTATGTTTTGATTGGATTTTTTTTCAGCCCAGTCCAACACAAACTTGTGCACGAGGAAGGTTTTCCCAATTCCTGCTATTCCATTGGTCAGTATGGTTTTTATGGGCTGGTACTCTCCTGAAGGATGATTAAACATGTCTCTGGGTTTCACTCGTATTTCTTCTGCTGGCTTTAAAATGTTCTCAATCTGTCTGACCTCATGTTGTGTGTTGATGTGTACATCACACCCAGCAGTGATGTAGACCTCTGTATAGATATCCACCAGGCGTTGTTTATCTTCAGCCCAACCCTCCTGTGCACACATGAACTTGTCCTGGAAGTTTGACTGAAGCATCTGTTGGTAAAATCTGATGCAATGGGGCTCAGGAACTGGAACTATCAGATCTGTGTATAAAAACAAGAGTAAGTATCTAAATATAGTGCATGTTTTGACAGTTTAACAATCTGACCTGCCTGGGAAATTAACCTTATCTAGAAGGAAAATGTATCATTCATTGGTTATTTAATTATCCAACTTAAAATAGCTGACCAATTACAAATTAAGCTTCTAAAATAAGTTAGGTTTTATAACATTCTGTCAGGTCTAAGCACCTAAAACATCATACATACATACAGGGAAAGAAAGAAGGCACAGAGACAATTAATTTAGTTTTACTCGCGAGGAGGGTAGGAAGAGACTGCAGAGTTTACAAATCTCCAACCCACTCTGCCGGTCTTCAGCTTTCTCCTCGCTATTTATTAAAGTCAGGGGGGGGCGTCCCTAGTTACACAAGCTGAGGTTGCGCTAAAGGAATAGGAAACAAGAAATACAATTCATTTTGCAGCCTCAGTGAACAGGTCAATTTGCATTTAAATGTCTTGCGGTCAAATGGTCCGAGAACCTCCTGGTTTCGTTAACAATACTTCCTGATAGTTGACCTATACTGCCTGTGCAACACCTCTCTGGGACAGTAATATGTCACACATTATACATCATATGAACAAACATCAAGTATCTTATACATAATTATTCCAACACAGTCTTAGTTTTTTTTTTTTTCTGGGTCATTTCAACACAACTTTCAAAAGCCAGTGTGTTTGTTTATGTCCTTTTAAGTTGCACCCATGTTCAATGGACGTCAAAGAAAATCATTACACATTGCTTATAGACAAAGTTTTTACTCCCTTCTTGACCCAGGTCTCTCTAATGATATTCAAAGACTTCACCATGGGAATGAAGCTTTCAAAATGTCAATATAAGACAAAAATTTGGAAGATCTGGAATTCAGGGGATAATTTACAGAGATGGATAATATATGTCAGCATGTCAGTCGTTCCTTTGCAAGTTTAAGTAATGTAATATAAATCCCTGTCTCACAATGGGGAAATTCACCATCCCCTTGGTTGGCAGTGGGCTGCCATTGTGTGGGGGGAGCAGTGTGGGATTAAGGGTGTTGCTCAGGAACTCAGAGTGGAGGCTGTGGTGATCATACTGGGTACTTGCAACCTTCTCAGAGCACAAGTGCACTGCTCTAATCACTAGGCCACCACTCTCCACTCCCCACTTGAGTCATATTAAAGACTGACATCTTAAAGACATTCATATTTACCAAAGAAAGCAACAGATTTACCTTCTTTTTGAAGAGGACCTGCCAGTGTATGAGAGAAGGCCTGTCCAGATATCCCAGAGGAGTCTTCATCATCACTTCCATTGACTGACATACAGACATTGTAGGTGGTAAAAATATATTAAAAAGTTGCAACATGCATAAAATACATTAATCAGAGTGCATCATGATGTTTATTTCTGTGACTGACCTTCTGTTCCTGATGTGGTAACTGGCAAACGTTTAAGGAGATCATTCCTGTTGATCTTTTCTAAAACCTTCTTGGTGACCTTGACAGCTCCAGGAACCCTGTATGTCTGAACCATCAGATCAACCGTATCCTCTCTATTTGCCATCTGAAGTTGAGCCTTTTTGATGGTTGGGAGGTCTTCAAGACAGTCACTTTTCTGCAGGAACCATTTGAATCGGATAAACTCCTCATTGGCAAGATCGTCTAGAATGTTTAAGAGGTCTTCTGGTGTCATGGCAGCTCCTTATATATATAAAATCAATACTGCCTTTGCTGGAGTCTGGGTTCAGGTATTGTTGTGTTAGAGGTACAGAGCCAAGTCCAGTGGGGTGTTGTGTTGTTGGATTGGCTTGGATTGGATATCCATAAACACAATTTGAAGCATGTAGTACAACTTTGAGTCTTCTTGAAAAATTCTTCTAGAGGGAGAATTTTCTCCCTCCTTCAAGAGGGAGAACCAGAACTCATGGTGAGGTGTATCCCTCGGCTGTTGACCAGCTTACCTACAGACAAAAGGGTAGCCAAAGTTTCAGATGGATTTAAATATACATTAAAAAGAAACACTCAATCTGCCTTTTAGCTTTATGTATAACTGTTTATTATCGCTTATTGTTACTCAGAAATGGTTTATGATGTCAAACGTACTCAAGTAAGAGTGGCACAAATGCACCATATTTGTGACCAGGTAAGCAGATTAGCCAACCAGAAATGACTTAAGTAACAGTTAAAATGTGTTTGATAGAAAAAAAAATAGTGAAGTATTTGGTTAATAATTGTAAATTCTGGTTTACTGTCTCGATGCATCTCCATGATTCAGGTTAAAATATTGAAAAAGTACAATTATTCTTCTTTGTTGAAACATTTAATCTCTTCTCCAAAACAGTTCTTTAATCTGATGAGTTCTAGCTAATGATAGCCTTATAGATAGTACCTTCACATATCCAGTTGTTGGTGATAATAAAAACTGGTGGCTAACATGCAAACTAAGATCACCAACTTAATGACCAATTTCAGTCCTCTTATTATTGCTTGATGTTTCCAGAGGACTGAGTCTTGCAATGCTCTCAATAAATAGATTGTAAGAGGAGAACAAGTTGAGCCCAAATCCTCCACCCCGTTTAAAGATGGATTGTTTTTCTTCACAAATATGGCTTCCTTTACTCTTTCTCAAATCAGCTTTCCTCCGTATTCAGGATGAGAACATCTTCATTCCTGAAAAAGGGCAGCATTGGTTTGTATACGAGTGTAAAACACTGAATCTTAACCTGATGGTTTTGCCTTTTTAGATTCAGATTCAGATTTATTGCTCCATGGCAAAAATCACCCAAAACATGGGGATAAACATGTTAATTTTGGCCTTTGTTTGTGCCCTAATGATTAAATGCTCTTTTTGGCAATTAACAGCATATACAATTTTACACTGACTGTGCCAGGGACTTTGATCTTTGGATCCTTCAGGAACTACCTGAGTTTCAACCTCTGATGCAGACAGAGAGAGGGGCACCTCTAAGAGCCTGCAATTTACACCTTCTGTCAATGAGCACAAGGTAAGTAAGATACAACAGAAGCTACAGACCAAGCTGGTGAATGAACAAGTTAGACAACTTCATCTCTAAAGCTTTAGAGGCCAAAGAAGAGTACATTCAACAAAAGGAAAGAACACATCTGAGTCAGATCACATTCCAACATTTCATAGAAAATGTAATTTTAGCAGAGCACATATAAGTTTACGTCTCAAGCAATTTGTTAAGTGGTTAAATAATTTATTCAACAGACAACTTCCCCAGATACAGAACTACTTTCAAAGGGACTGAACCTTGCAGATCCCTACTTGCTCTGCTTGCTCCACTCATTCTCTGCACTAATGACTTGTTGACCTGTTTGTAAATGAACTACATCAACCGGCCAATTAAAGACAGGCCTTTTTGCTCTAATTGCACTATAGGCTCCATGTTGAACAGCAATTATTAATCTCCCAAAGGCAAGGCTTTATGCATATCTTAACTGTCATAGTTCTGTCAGAATTAAAAATGAAACTTATCTTCTGTTTAAAGGCAATATTGTATTCATTGTTGCCATTTTTAGATTATGTTTTACCATATTTAGTGGAAGGAATTTCCCTATAATTAATGTTCATGGACTGTTCACACTTCTATAGAAGGTATTTTTCAAAGAAATTGCATAAAATATCGGGTCTCTAAATAAAGCTAAATATTTTTCAAACAATCTGATGTTTCAATAACCTAAATAATCAATTAAATACAAGCACATCCCAATGGAAGGAAGTTTTTGGGGAGAGGGAATTCTGGGAATCTTGGTCGTAGATAAAAGTGAAGATGACAAGTATGTGTATGAGTATGGGTACATGATTCTCAATTGTGTCAGCCACTATTTGGTGTATTGGTTTGTGCCTCTAACAGGAATGGAAAATGCATTGTTAGTTTCTGTTCTCATCACCACCCAATGGCAAGTGTAATACATTCATCGGCATTGAGTTATTCTGTAGAAACTCACCTACACTTGTATTAGTCTGTTGTGAATATTCCGCTATCATCTGCTAGGGTAACGGCATTTTTACAGAAGATCATAAGGATATAAAGAAGGGCAGCTCTGTTCTAGAATCTCTTCTAGAAGCTCTGGAGAAGATTTGTCAAAGAAGATTATGTCATAAAATGCAGAACATTATACACAATAGTGGGAACCCTCTCCACAAATTGTTACACAACAATACTGGCTCAATCTGAATACCTAAAAATGGTCAGGACACTTAAGCCTCAGTGGAAGTGCATTTAGTTGCCCAAAGTTTTGCAATCCGATTAATGCCAGCATTTAGGAAGGAGCTAGGAACAGGAAGCACTTTACTTCCTTGTGCCAATTCATTTAACATAGAACCTCCTGACGTTCCAAACAGCTACAGAAGATCATACCTGCCTACAGCCATCAATATATATAAAACAACTTGTTGAAAAACAAAGAATGAACTGGATTTAACTGAATTTACTGTATTTCCAATTGACCTCCAAATGTATCAATAAACTCATTAGCAAATAACAGTAAAACAACTAAGCTAGAAAACAAACAAGTCTCTCTTTAGCACAATCTTTAGTGGTGTGTCTCTCTGGCGCTTCCATGGTTAAAAGATTCTGATTCTTTATTTAGTTTCTCCGCTGTGAGATCAATAAAGCTCATCTAATCTAATCTAATCCAAGTTACGTATGGTTGGTAGAGTAGCTAGCGATTTTACTCAAGTAAAAGTAGCAATAATTCTGAATAATATTACTCAAGAAGAAGTAAAAAATACAGCACAGTTAAACTTCTCTTAAAAATCCTTTTTTTTAGATCAAAATAGTTAAACGGCTAAATTTAACTAGATAGTACCCACCTCTTTTTTTTAATTTTGCATCAGTTTTAGTTATAAGTAAGTTAAGGAAGTTTATTTATCTATGAATTTATCTCATTATGTGATCCTACTCATTCATGTTCTAAATTGAATGAACTCTATGCACAACTACACAACTTCCTGAACTTAAGGCAACTCTTTTGTTTCCTGTCTTTTTCTACTAGATGAACTGATTAATCCAGGAGTCTGACCTCAGGAATCATGGCCAGACACACCTGGATTAATCAGTTCATCCAGTAATGAAAGACAGAAAACAAAAGAACCGTCTTAAATTAAGGAAGTAGTGGAGTTGTGCGTACACGCCACTGCAGCCATTTTTTTTAAACTTCAGGTTTTTGGTTTAGCTTACCTACTGTAGGTTTATAAGGAGTTTTGCTGAGATATACAATGAGTAATGATTTCTTAGAAAAATTAAATGATTATGCAAAATGAAAATTTTGATTTTGTGTTATTTTAGACTCAACCTATTGATAATAAATTTTTATTTAGGGAGAGCAATCAAAGATAGAAAGCAGTCAGCAGGAGTCAACAATCCCCAGTAGGTATAATAAAATAAATAATATGAAGTAATATTTACTTACATGGAAAAACTTCTCTTTAAAGCAGAAGATCCATTTCTAAATCTGTTCAGTTCATTTTTCAAAGTCTACTTGAAATGTCAGTTATTAAAAGCATAAAATTCATCAAAAGAAGGAATCCGTTGCAACAATATAACTCAGACAGGGATTAGACAATCCTATTTTCTTCGTCTGCTGTTAAATGATCCCTACGTGCTAAATACATACCTATCCTCATGGGCTAGTAGCTTTAACATCCTGTTGCTTCACCCCGATGGCTGAAAAAAGGAAGTATTACGAGAGGGAAGTTTTTATATAGTCTCTGCACAGGTCGATTAAAAGCAGATAAAACTGTCAACTGGAAAAATTTAGATTAAGTATAAACTCTATGTGGAAAGGCGGCTAGCAGTTAGCTATTTTGCTTTTTATCTTTCTAAGCTTGCATTAATTAAGCCATGAAATGTTAATGTTTCAAGGGGGAAGCCATTTAGACTTTGACCTTCGACTTCCAGTGTTCTGCGCTGGTGCCCCGCCCTCCATGCACATAATGCAACCACAGAAAAAAGAAGCTACCAAGAGCCTGGGGGGGGGGTTATATTTGGTATATAACATTTATAGTTAAAATGATGACATATAAAACATTAAAAAGTGTAAATCTTTTTAGACATAAGCAATGTTTAACAAATAATTTTTCAAGAAATAATGGACCTCTCTGGAGTCTTTCTTTTGGTGCCCCCCTCCCCCACCTACCAGCGGTTTGTTAATCATGCTACACATGATAAAAAAAAGTTTTCAAAAGAGTTAAATGTGGAAAAACAGTAGAAAGTAGACAATGTGGCGAGCAGATGAATGGAGAATGGGTGCATGCTGAAAAAACCTTGCAACTAAGTAGTAAAAATTAACATTAATGCTCAATAATGAAATTTCACTTGAACACCATTAATTTAGTTTAATAACAGGTTAATGCACATGCTTCTGTATGTTTGAACCTGGTTATTCACCAATGTTATTCATCACTGAATCCAATTAAATCTCTTTGAAAAAATTCAAACATGAAAAGGGATAAAAAAAAGAACAAACAAAGACATGAGAAAATATCCAATGTTCAGCCTGTAGTAAATCAAAGAATATATAACCTAAAACACTGTTCAAGTCTGTTCATTTAGATTATCTAAAAGTTTCTGAGACTTTGATTTGTTTGGTTTTAATAAGCTTTTCTTGATAAATCCTCCTCAGCAAAACAAACCTTGGATCAGACTAATAAAAACATTTGACACAGCACAAAGTGTAAGTCATTTTAACAGCACATTATAGGATGAATCATAGTTCTGTGTTTTACTCCGCACTGTTGCATTTATTTCATTGTACTTTGTTTGTTTCCTCATTTTCTTCATAATTGTTCAAGACCAAACCTCATACTGACACTCAGAAGCAACATGATTTTAGGAAATATACAGGCAGTTGAGCAGCAAAGAAGCAATTAGACAAGATAAACCTAATGAATACTGGCAAATGACTGAGAAATTCAATAGAGGGATAAGGTGCAAATGGTAGAATGCATTAAAAAACAAAAGTGCAGAGAACTGACTAATAAACAGAAGATTCTGGCTGAAGGAAAAATGTTAGAACAGGGATTCAGAGATTCCACTTATATACAACTTATTTGAATAGTGTGCATAAGACTGACATTATGGGGGAGTGGCAGACTAGTGGTTAGGGCATTGCACATGGAATCTAGAGGTTCTGAGTTCA